AACAAATAAACAAAATGTGTTACCTGACACTAAGTTCACACCTCTAGAGTCAATTCCAAGGCTATTAATACAACACTCTTTCCAGACTTCTTCTAAAAATCACACCACTCAAGGCAAACATGAGTTGTAATGTGACATGAGATGCCACATTCTCTCTCTCTATATATATATACACACACACACACTTCAGTACATACATATACTACTTCTTCATTCTGCCATTTAGTAGAAACAATTGATATATTAAAGAGATCTTAAAAAAAATCTATTGACCAGTCCTATTTCACACTAATTAGATCCACGACCACTTATGAATCCTCTATAAAGACATGAAAATGACAAAATAAAAAAGCCACTCTTGTTCTCCATTGAGAAACAAGACTGAAAAATAAATGATGTGTGCATACGTAGAGACGCTCAGCATAGCCATTACAGCCAATTGTAGCGTAGTGTGCTGTCTGCCCCCCCCCCCCCCCACACACACACACACAACAGACCCTGAAGGGAACGACACAAACAGCTTCCCATTTACACACTCTGACTAAGCCGCATTATGCTTCTCTATCCGAGCACTATTTATAGCACCACATGCACTGATGGGAATCTGTCAGTCTAACGTACACAAACATGCATTCAAACAGTCAGCACTGAAACATGACACATTTATCACAAACTGCATTCCTAATGCTAGAATCTGCTCAGATGAAGTAAGATCAAAATTTATACAGAGCAACAGGTTGGTTGCATAGTCGGATCTTCTATGGATGATTATTATTATTTGAAGAAATTGTTGCCGCCAGTACAACACCAATGTTGCTCTGTTGATACTAGGTTGTTCTGAATTATTTTTAAGTTACCACAGTGTTCTAGATGGTTTTGCGTTGTCAGTTAGTGGTTTCTAAGAGCGTTGTGTTCTTGGCAGTTGCTAAGGTGTTGCCATGCAGTTGCTAGTAAGTGCTGGGTGGTTGCTCGAGCATTGTGTTCTGGGTGGTTGCTAAGGTGTTGCTAGAGAGTGCTGGGTCAATGCTAGGGCGTTGTGTTCTGGGTGGCTGCTAGGGAGTTCCTGGTGGTTGCTAAGGTGTTGCTTGGGTCAATGCTAGAGCGTTGTGTTCTCTGAAATTCTATGCAATTAGTACTAAGTGGTTTCTAAAGTGTTGCTAGGTGGTTGCTATAGTGTAACGGATTGTTGCTAGGGTATTTATAGACGGTTAATTGTGCATTCTGGTTGGCTGCTACGGAGTTCTAATGGTGCGTTCACACCAGACGTGAATAGCGTGTCAGGCGCGATTGATTTCAATGTTAAGTTAATGGAAAGACGCGTTACACGCGTAAAAATTCCTGTGGCGCAGTAGACGCCTCAAATTCGCGCGAATTGAACATCTGGCGCATTCAGCCCGGATTATTTAGTTAGTACTATTTGCGCATTCACGCGTTTGACGCGAATTCGCGCCTGCCGCCCGAGTTGACAAATCTGACCTTTGCCGTCAATTCGCGCCGCTTTAACCAATCAGGAGACATAGCTGCTTGCTCGCGTGGTGAAGTATCTGGATGCTTCAATATTTTTTTTTTTAATATGACTAAATGCCTGGTGTGGTTCTAATGCACAACAAAGCAAATCTTTTATCACTTAAAACTTTTCAATTTACGAGACATGTTCATTTTGTATGTACTCGCCGAAAGTTTCGCCTCCGAAAGGTCCGGTGGACACAAACTCGGCAACGGTGATCCTCAAGCCGCTGTTCTGCTCTCCAGAGAAAATACAGAGCGGTGACTCTCTCAATGAATGCTCAATCAACATAAAAAACAAGGCCACCAACGGATTTCGATTCTCACGCGCAAAAATTTTGCTTCAAACTTTTGTTTTTACACGTGTCAATTTCGCTCTTGACGCGCGAATGGATTGAATGTGTTCACGCGTATAACTAGGCGCGAATTTGACGCACTATACGCGTCTAGTATGAACGCACAGTAAGGGATGCTAATGCATTTGATAGCGAGCTGTGGGCGGTTGATAGAGTGTTGCAAGGTGGTTGCTATGGTATAAGGGGTGGTTGCTAGGTTGTTTCTAGATGGTTGATCATATGTTCTGGGTGGCTGTTAGGAATTTTGGAGTGATTGCTAAGGAGTTTCTATGCAGTTGCTAGGGAGCATTGGATGGTTTCCAGAGTGCTGCTAGGTTTTTACTGTGATTATGCACAGAAATGTAATAGCATACTCTTCCTCAAAAAGCAGTATGATTACCTACACAATTTGAAGTATTATACATGTAGCCCAATAGCTGTGGGGCGAATGATGTGCCAGACAGAGTGTAACACTCGTTGTCAGGAGTTTGTATAAGTCTACCCTAAATATTCCCAATAGTGATGCTTTCTCAAGAAGGAATTCAGAGGTTGGTTCCAAAATCAATGGTGAGAGACTTTGAGCTGGGCTTTAATTAGATTATGGTCTTATGAGGGGAGAGCACGCGTGCTTGTTTCTCATTACGGAGAAAGAACAGCATCATTAAAGCACAGACATCATGAATCATTCTCTTCTGCCCTGTCACAGCGCAATGGAGAGATAAAGACAGAGAAGAAAGAGAGAAAGAAAAAAAGAGAGAGGACAAGAAAAGCAGCAAATATTGAAGGATCTCTGAATCTTAAAATATTTCTAGGGTTACATATGGCTCGACCTCACATATATCTATTTATCGTCTGCCCCTTCTATTCGTTTGTGGGACTCAACCCCCCTTGTTGTCATGGTGACGTGCCATATAATCCTCATCATTGGTGCTTTGGTTTCGCTATCGTCTCGGAGGCACTGCCCAAGCGACCTCGCGACCCCCTCTCATGTCTGCTGCAGATTTACAGACCCAGTATGACAGGCCGTCGAGCGGGGACACCGATCCACAGCGACAAAACACACACACTCTGCCTACAGACATACACACTCATGCTGAAGTTTAAAGACACACAAACAAATTCCTCACACACACTTGGGCCAACGGATACAGAATGACTCATATCTGTTCTAAAATACACCCGTAAATGCCTAAATACACATATACAAACACATTTAGTCAGGCACAAAACTTTAACAAATATTAGTACATACACACAGACACAAAGGTGAAATTTACAACACCTTTTGGAAAGATCCAAGATTTGGACATATATCCAAAATTATTTATTGTAATTACAGAGGCAATGATGCTGATTCAAAAAGAAAAAATAATATATATATATATATATATATATATATATATATTTGTAATTGTAATTAAAAACAAAATATATATTTTAAAAACATTTTTTTAAAAAAATGCTGCCAACTAACTGAAATAAAATAAGTTTACTTAAATAATTGGAAATAAGAATTTACAGAAGAGGATTAGGGCCAAGCAATAATAAAAAAATAAAACCATCTCGCGATTAAAGTCATTATAATGCGAGATTCAACTCGTTAAATTTTGAGAAAAAAAGTCCTAATACAATCTTGAGAATACACTCATTAATTATTGAAAATAAAGTCGTTGTGTTTCGAGAAAAAAGTTGAAATTCAATCTTGAGAATAAACTCATTCAATTTCGAGAATAAAGTCGTTGTGTTTCGAGAAAAAAGTCGAAATTCAATCTTGAGAATAAACTCATTCAATTTCGAGAATAAAGTCGTTGTGTTTCGAGAAAAAAGTCGAAATTCAATCTTGAGAATAAACTCATTCAATTTCGAGAATAAAGTCGTTGTGTTTCGAGAAAAAAGTTGAAATTCAATCTTGAGAATAAACTCATTCAATTTCGAGAATAAAGTCGTTGTGTTTCGAGAAAAAAGTCGAAATTCAATCTTGAGAATAAACTCATTCAATTTCGAGAATAAAGTCGTTGTGTTTCGAGAAAAAAGTTGAAATTCAATCTTGAGAATAAACTCATTCAATTTCGTATATAAAATTTGCACAATTAAATATCCAGCATTGAATGAATAGAAAAAAAAGTCAACCAGCACAGCCTGTCATCATGGAAATCAACCCTAAATGCTTATACAGCAAATCAGCAAATGTGTTAGTGAGCTATAATTCTTATTTCCACAATTCTGTAATGTTGGTTTCTTCTGTTAGGGTCTCAGGCTGCTCTCTTGACTGTACAGAATGTGTGACTCATGAGAAGGGGTTTTAGTTGTGACATCTGCTTTTAGAAGTGCACAAAACATAGACTGACAGTTCTCTTATGGTTGGGTTTACAGTAGCTGACACATCTGTCGTTAAAGTGGGACTCCGGTGTTTGATGTACTGAGATGTCATGCCTAATAATAGTGTGAATTTGAAATTTTACAATGAAATTTCTTGTCCAAGTTGAAGTTTAATATATTCACCAATAAGACAGGTTTAATAAATGTTTATGTACCCAACTTATTCATTTGCACCAAACCTTCTTATTCAAAACTAATTAGTGACTGAAGATATGGGCTGGTGAAAAATCTTAATCAGTTGACATTTTAAATACATTTTTTAAAAAAAAAGGAGAACAGGAAAGGGTGTCCTCCAGTTTTTCCAACTCAAACATGAAACTATTTTAATTAATGTCTTATCCGATCCATTACACATATCACATTATATAAGCAAATATAAAAATAAGCCACTAAATTAAGAAATCCCACTAATCGACAAATCGTTTCTCCTGAACTTTACAACTTTTTTTTTTTTTTTTTTAAACACAGTGGAAAAGTAACATATGTTTCTTGGGATATCAAAATCTGCCATGAGAGGCAATTCCACATTCTTTACCATATTTGTAAAGCTTGTACTTTCAGCTAAGTTTGGTGAATTGGCTAATACATACAATATGGCACAGCTAAATCAATTAACTCACCTACAATTGTGCAACTATGCAAAATTAAAACAAAATCTTTAACACATTTTCAATAATGTTTCAATAAATGGTGAACATGTCAATTTTTCTATGCCAGACATCACTTTTGGCCACTACTGTAAATGCAGCCAAAGCTAAAGGAATATCCATTGATACTTACAGATCAAACCTTATGTTCTGTCTTTCTTCAAAGAAGTAGTCCAATACGAATTTGCGCACAAAATCTGGGTTCAAAGTGTTGTCGATAACTTCCGTCCGCCCAAACTGAAAAACAAAGGAAGGTCAATTGAAATCATTTACATTATTTTTATTTTTATTCACCTTCACTTAAAAAGTGTTTGTTTTTTTCTCACAAGCTTGAGGTAACCTTCAGTTTAATAGTGTGATTTCTTTTAATGCCATGGGCATGTTTATAATGAATATACATTACGTTGTCTCAGTCACTTTGGCCCTGTTTACACGAGAACGATTCCGGGTGAAAACGTAAAAATATTTTTTTTTCGGATGTGCCTTTCGTTTACACGGTTACGGCATTTTTTGGGCTTGAAAACGCAAAAAAGTGAAAACACCCTCCAGAGTGGAAATCTTCAAAACGCTCCACCGTCGCGTTCCCGTCTAAATGGCAAAAACGCAAATCTGCTCATGGTGGCTCTCGTCGCGTACGCGTTTACGTCACAGGCATGCGCCAGTACAGGAAAATAACGACCAACATGTCGAATTATTTCCATACGCTCTGATTAACATCCAAGAGTCTTTTCTGTGGTTGTACGAAATATTCTCACATAGTATAACTGATCAGAGAAGGCACATTGAAGGTTGTACGCAGGCGCGCGGACTTGGTGTTATTGTGTGGCAGTGCTTCACATTGCCACCTAGCCGCCTGGAGTGCATACTACATCGAAATTTACACACTTTTGCGTCACCATTTACACACAGATTTCCCAACCATTACGCTCGTCTAGACACAGAATAAAAAGTGAAAACGCAATGCCACTTTCATCTCTACACTAATATCTACACAATAAACCTTTTTTTTCCTCTTGAAGTTTAGATAAATTGACCACACCATTCATTTTCATTAACCGTTTTTCGAATCCTCTTTTTTATTTCTAAGATTTCTTTTCTTTATCGGAGCATTCAGAAGGACTGTATTTGTATGTTCTGTGTGCAAATACAAGTTTTCAATGTTCACTACATACACCTCTTGCCACCTTCAACACCTTTCATATGGAGGTCAGAGAGTTACATGTCAGCATTGAGATGTGCATTAAAGCCTTGACATGAATCATGTAAAAGGGACTTAACGTTTTAATTAGCTGACTTGAAAAGTGGGCTGTAGTTGTCTTGATATAAGCGTGGGTGAGAATGTTATTACATCTCCTGAGTGGCTTATCATATTTCAACAGCTAGTGATTGAAGTTAATAAGTACACCGTCCTCTTAATGGGGCTTAAGAAAGCCTGATATTTCCTGATATTAAATGGGAAGGCAAAAATATGATCGACACAGAAAGCCAAAAATAATTGAGATTATTATTTTGAGAATATTCCAACCCCACATTTACATGTATGAATATTTATGCGAACAAGGGTCTGCCAGGCCCTTCAAGGGGTCGACACGACTAAGCCAGATTGCTTCACTCACCTCTCTCCACTCTTTGTTGCCAATGGCTTGGGTGTACAGCACACAGACTGTGAAGAGAAAAAGAGATTGGGTTACACAAAGGCAGACAATTTTTTCAAATGCCAGAAGACCTTTGACACTCTTAACTCAGATCTGTAAGTGTGTAATCTTGCCGTCTACTATATTAGAAGAGAAACGACTTAGAACCAGAGTGGTGAAATGCGGTGAGATAAAAAATCTACAAAGCTGCCATTTTCAACTCCCGCTCATGTCGTTCTAAACCTGTATTACTAAAAAAAAGGATATTTTGAAGAATCTTGGTAATCAAGCAGATATAGCGCCCATTCCAAACCCAAGAAAAAGGCCATTTTTCAAAATATATTTTAGTTTTTCATGGAAGACTTTTTGAATGTAACGAGGGTGAGTAAATTATGAGAAAATCAACCCTTTTAACATGACAGTAATACTAACATAATATTAACCATTAAAGGGATAGTTCATCATAAAAATAAAAACTAAATAGCAGAGAGACTATTCGCATCAAGTGCCAACAGGTCGCCTTGAGGCTATTTAGACTAACTTCGCCTTGTTAGTGTAATTGTCTGATTGAGCCAGACAAAATTATAAACAAGCAGAGTAAGGTGAGTAGTGTTAGTGTTTGACGCGACCAACCCAAGTTTCTGAAACTCATTCTTCTCACATTTCCCATATAAGCTCAGAGATGTGTTTATTTGGTAACGCTTCCTTTTACAGTCCAGTTACCCATGTAAATACTATGTACTTATTTTAGTAACTACAATTACTGGGTAATAACTAGTACTAACCCTGAACCTACCCCTGTTCCATGTACTTACCTTATATTAGCCAGTACTTTCTAGGTAAGTACACAGTAAGTACTGTACTGTAAAAGGAAGCGGTACCGTTTATTTGAAATTCAATGAAGAAAATATTCAAAAAGTGGAAATAAAGTGCCTAATAGCTACTTAATATAGGAAGTGCTTAATGTCTATTAAATTGGCCTATTATTGGAATGTGGTGTCCTCATACAAAAAATATTTCATGTTCATATTCATGAATACAGTTGGTGAATGAGACCCAATGTCCTAGAGCTGTGGGTAGAGAAAAATGGCTGCATGTGTGTGTGTTTTTGCAAAACAGAAACCTAAAGCCTAAGGCGCAACTACTGAAAAATGCATTTTTCATTTCTTATAACTGAGTGTGTGTACATTTTTCTATGTGTGTCATGGTTAATGATAACACTAAGAGACTCGGCCAACAGTACTCAGCACAGTTAAGATGGGGGCTCAGCACAAGTGCCCACTTGAATGAATTCAATGACCCTGTCAGCAGGCCAGGAAGACCTGACGTCTATTCAGTCCAGCTAATCATGAACCAAACCAGTAAGAAAACAAATGGCAATAACATGAAAATAAAAAAAGACACTTACAAAAGGTCAAGCATAGCTACAGCAATGCATGAAAGCGAAACAGGTGGAATAGTGGACAAACAAATCTGAAAGAAAAGAGAAGCAGGCAAGAAACAAAATGAAGCAGGACAGTAAGACAAGTACACACATTAGAAATATGGAAATCAATACATATAATAGCAGTGTGACTGACTGCTCACTGTTCCCGTTTCCTGTTCACACATACACATGGTGCAAAAGAAAACATTAAATACATTCAGCACTCATTGTTCTTGTTATTGTTCTCCCCACTGTTTGCCAGTAAACACACTTGTGTTTTCACAAATTTTCAAAGATTTGATATCAGATTTGAGTGAATATAGTAATAATGTATATAAAGTATGTATCAAATGAATGGGTAAATTATGGCTGTGACAAAAAAACGGCAGTTCCACTGAAAGGTTACTTTTATTATTTTTAAATGTCATCTTATTGTGTTGTTTGGTGCAAGTATCAATGAAAAATGAATATGCTGTATCTGGATTTTTTATTTCTAGAAAATATTCACATAATTAAAATCGCACCGTAATGACACTCTTTACATTGTCGTCTTCTCTGCCCTGGCTCGGCAGAACTGCGGATCATACACACACGTCTTGTACACGACCATTCAGCACATAGTTATAGGCATCTAAAGATTTCTATACCCTCAGTTTCTCTTTACGGTCGGTGGTTTACGGTCGCTCTATATGGTAGGTGTAGAAGTCAGGCCACTCAACCGAGGTAACGTAACGTTAATCCTGTCAGATCGTCCATGCATCGAGTGAGAGTGTAGGGGTCGGCCAATCTGGTTCTGTCCGTTAAAAATAACTTTTGGAAATAACAATCGCGGTCCTGGAGAGTGAGTGACCTTACACATTAAGATAAAATCTGATTTTCTCCAGTCATTGTTAAAAAACAAGCTAATAAAACTTGCTAACTAGCGTTAGTGAAGCGGCCAGAGGGATCGTTCTGCCTCCACCTAAGCTCCGCCCACAAAAAAACGTCACTATGTTTACCAACTGTAAAAGGGTCTATAAGCAGATGCGATAGCTTCCACTATCCATCTAGACAGGGCTCTGTTTCGAGGCGGCGACACCTTTGGTGCGCCCACCAAACGGAACAAAAAGCTGTTCCGAATGCCTGAAAGGGGCGGAGCGCACAAGTTTCCTAGTTTCCTCTGGAGCCTAGTTCCAAATCGTTTTTTTGTTTTTCGACCAAAGCTCCAGCTCCGAACCAGTAAAAGTGGTTCTTAGGTAGCACCAAATCATTGCTGGTCTGGAAGTAAGAACCGCTTACGTCAGCGGCTGGGGGCGGGATTACAGTGACCAACAAGACGAATAGAAACTTGGGAACGCTATTTTTTTAAATAGCAGCTAATCACGCTAATAGCAGCTCAATTGTAATCTCTGTTAATGCAAGTTACGGCAAGAGCTGCACGGACGTGCTGGATTCGCCGTGTTTGGATACCGATGTAGGTTTGCAAAGCCAGGAGCATAAATAGTAACACATCAACCGCCATTGTTGATGGAAGGCTTGTTCGAGATGTATCGGAGCAGCGTGGACTGATCCGAGCCATCTCGAACAAGCCTGGTGTGTTTTTGTGTGCCGTGCTAGCGTTGCTGGGCAACATGAGATGTATACAGTGACGTAAGATCTGGCTCTGTGATGGCCCAGGGTTCACTAATCTCGGTCCTGGAGGGCCACTGTCCCTGCAGAGTTTAGCTCCAACCCTGATCAAACACACCTACCTGTGAGTTTCTACTGATCCTGAAGACCTTGATCAGCTTGCTCAGGTGTGTTTGATCAGGGTTGGAGCTAAACTCTGCAGGTACAGTGGCCCTCCAGGACCGAGATTGGTGAACCCAGCTCTAGCCTGTGGAAAGGCAAACCGGTTCTTTGAAAGCTCGTCAGTCGAACCAACACCGAACCAGCGCTAGCTCTAGCTCTGAACCAGCACCTGGTTCTTGTTGGTGGAAAAGGGGTATAGGACCAATGAAAGATCCCACATGGGAACCGACTGGGGTCGCGGGGGGGTTCATCCTTCTGGCTCCTCTAAGGAAGCGGATGACAAGCTCATTTCTTCCTATTGATGCTGCAATGGCAGTCACACATAATTTAAGCGTGGATGGGGACCTGCCCTCATCCAACAGCTCTTGAAGGAAGCCAAGTAACCACGGGAACCCACATATTCGTAGGTCTAGATCTCTATTTGGAGAACACCGACTATTTAGACGCGTAAAGCTGCCTCATAGAGGGAGCTCTCGATTGCGTAATCGTGTTCATCACTCCTTCTGGCAAGACAACAGGTATCCGTTGATTACCCATACGTGCAGAGACCAGCGCTCTGGATGGGGATGCCAGATTGAGCCGCTAGCTTGAGACAGGAGGTCTCTCCTCACCGGAATCGGCTGAGGAGCTGTGTGTGACAGCCGCATTAGCTCCAGAAACCAGATTTGATTCTCCCATCGCGGGGCTATAAGAAGCACCATGTGGCACGTTTCCCTGATTCTCTCGATTACCTGTGGTAACAAAGAGACCGGAGGGAAAGCATAAAGAGGGAGGCTGGGCCAGGTTTGGGCCAGCGCATTCTCATTCTTTGAAAAGAACAGTGGGCAATGAGCACTGACTTTTTACGCAAACAGGTCGACTTTCGCTTTGCCAAAAAGGCGCTACAGTAACTGGACTGTCTGGGGGTTCAGGGACCATTCCAGGGATCGTTCTGGCCAGGGACCGTTCTGGCCAGGAGGAGCTGAGACCAAACAAGAAGGCGTTCTGTCAGATGGCAGAGACTTCTAGATTTGACACCGCCCTGACGGTTTATGTAGGACACCACAGACATGTTGTCCGAGCGGACTAGCACATGGTGGTTTCCTATGCACGGGAGGAACCTCCAGACTGTTTATGTGGAAACGTCTCTCTTGGTCTGACCACAGGCCAAAGACTGTCTGCTCTCGAAGAGGGCACCCCAACCTAGGTTGGAGGCGTCCGTTGAGATGACCTTTCGGTACGAGACAACTCCCACTGAAATCAGTGATGAAGTCCTGAGCCCGTCTTTTATACGCTAAGCCACCCCCCTTTCTGGCGGGCTGTCATAGACATATACACTAGACCTCACCTTGGGGTTCTAAGCATGCGTCAAAACCGCCGCCATCTTGGAACAGGGGTCTTGTCATAGGAAGTAGCTAGTTAACGCTACTATCTCTGCCTTTACTTCAAATTCATTGATGGTGGCGGACTTTTGTGCAGCGTATGATGTTCACGGATGAAATCTGAACTAGGAAGAATGTCTTTCTCTTTCTGGAATCAATGATAAATACATGTCTGACCGTTGGAACAAACAAAAAAAAAAACAAGAAAAATCGCATTCATGATGATTTATGGTGCTTTTATTTCCGTTAGACCTGTGTCTACTACATTGACGCTGATGCATTAAAGTGGAGGAGCTCCCCTGTTTCAAGATGGCGGCTCTATTGACGCATTAGTTCCAATGAACTGCCGTAGCCAAGGTGAGGTCTAGTGTATATGTCTATGGTGGGCTGTGATGCGTAGAGGGCGTGACGGCACGCGTGAGGCTCAGTGGTAGGCCAGGTAGGCAACCAATGGGAATGCAAGATAGCCTGCTCTAGGTCTGCTGGCTGCTGCACTGCGTGACCATACATAAAAAATTAAGGACCATTTTTGGCTTCAATATCTCGAGAAAAGATGACTTTACCCGTAGCGTAAGCAACTTAAGCAATACGAGAGAACCTCTCGTAAGATAATTGACACGTATATTGATAAGGTTGTGGTGAAACCTCAATACTGTTGGAATATGGATATGATGGACCTTGTTCATGTGATTTTGAATGGGATTTAGGATAAATGTGTTTGTAGTATTTGAATGTAGAAATATTTGAGAGTAGGCCATTAAAATAATAAAAATCATTAAAAATAACATTTTAAATAACATGAAATATTTTAAAACACCCAATGTAGGTTAACAACATTAAATATCATCCTTTAGACAGCTCTCTTCGCCTGTACCTTTGAATTTGGATTACTCTTATATTGTGGCATTTGGATTTTCTCTTCAGGAGGACTTTGTTGGAGTTGAAGGCAAATGTTACAATAATCAGGGCCGCCCACGGTGTGTCTATATCTGAGGCCCGTGTCAAATTCAGATCTGAAACTTCACACAATCAGTGCGAGAGAACGCAAACAGAAAGCAGTGAGTCATGCGATTGTGTAAGCTTTCGGACTCTGTATAGAAACTCCCCTCTTAACAAGGCTGAGAGTTGGTCGTACTGCCGTACACCAGGTCATAGTAAATCATGGCAGAATCTTTAAGTTGGATTGGCATATTTCAAAGTACAGCATGCATTTGAGCAACAATTATAAAAAGGGACAAGAAAGACATTCTTACTTGGATCTGATTTGGAAAACGTGTCTCTGTCGAGAAGGTTTCTGTAAAAGAAAATACACATGAACAATTATATTTATGCAGGAAGGAAGACAAATTGTGTGTGATTGGTATGAAAACACATTCCTGTGTGTATTTGGTATAGTATTGTGTAGGAAAGTTCAGATGTAATTTTAACTTTTTTTTACATTCACTGTAACCAAATTATGTAGTTTTCACAGCATTATTACTGTAAAATGAGCATGTTACAGCATGTTGCTGTAGATCTGCAAAGCATCATGGTCAATTTTCAATGGCGGGTAAATTCTACAGTAAAAATATATTTTCTATGAATCAGAATACAGCAATTTCTCAAGGATTTTTTTTTCTCAGCAACGGAAAGCTACGATTCCACACTTTCAACGGAATTTTACTTCAGAAAGGTAACTTTGCTCATTTATTTCCACATTTTACTCTCGTAAACCTGTTTGTTCAACTTTAAGAGTGCACTGCGGGCCGAGTCGAAAGAAACGCAGCCACACAACTTTAAAAACACAACATTTTTCAAAGGATTGCAAGCTGCAGACACTTGATTTTTCCCTGATTTAAGTATGTAAGTGAATGTTAGGGGTTTTATTCATGATTCGTGGAAGCATACTGAACAAGAGTCATCACAAAAGCTTGTTCATGATTGAAGAATCAAGTAAATTAGAGCATAACAATTTCCGTTCTATTCCACCTGACCCCAGTCTCACTTACATGCAAATATAATGTGTCTCGACCCTCACAAGCTGATTATGAAGTACTAACGAAAAGTGACAACCATAGAACACCAGGTTAACTGCAGGAAGATCCATATAGTAAAAATGGCACACGATCTTGACTAGTCTTCTAAGTGGACAGACATATATAAACGGTGCAGAATATGGGTATTTTAAGGTAGACGTTCAAGGTAAATGTGGCAGGTGCAGCAGGGAAGAGGTGAAGTTCTGCATCTGGGCTTTAGTAACTGCATTAGTGCAGGTTTGAGGTAAATGATTGTGTCAGTCGTGGGTTCTGAAAGTCTGCCCTGTCCTCTCTGATAAAATCTTGAGTTTTTCTGTTCCAAGTGGATAAAGGGATTTTGCTGAGGGGACTGGAAATAAAGTCTCTCCGATCTAGAGCTTACACGCAGCCGTTCCATTATGAGGACATGCTTAGTATATCCCTTGACAACCAAATCCTTGGGAGTCAGGGGACTTCCATTTAGTGTTTTATGTACTTAAGCCTTTCACCTGTTCTCTACCCCCAAGGAGAATGACAGATTATTTTCATGCATATGGATATCATCGGTGGTGTTTATGGACACACACAAAATATATTTACAGTAAATGTACTTTTAACAGAATTTTAGCAGTCAAGCAGGCTAATAAACCCGCATGCAATAGTGTGATATAATCACCTACCAATCTTGTGTGTGTAGGCCTAATTATCTTTGTAAATCTTGTCAATGCCAGGTAAAAAGTAAACATGGTTACTTTAAAACGAAAGGGACATCAAGGCTTCTTTGAAAAATACAAATTATTTGAGTATAATAACAGGGGAAATTACATCTATAGAACTGTGAGGGGATACTTCACCTCTGGAAAAGGTAAATGGACTGCATTTATATAGCGCTTTCACAGACCCAATGGCCACCAAAGCACTTTACATCTCTCCACATTCACCCATTCACTCACTCATTCATACACCGACGGCGGTGTCAGTCATGCAAGGCACCGTCCAGCTCGTCGGGAGCAGCTGGGGTTACGTGTCTTGCTCACGGACACCTCGACACTTGGTCAGGTGGAACTGGGGATTGAACCACCAACCTTCTGGTTTGTAGACAACCTACATGAATGTGAATGTGTATTTAGAATGGGTAATTCATGAAATTATTTTTGAATTTGGAGCTTTCTAGACTGAGAAAAGCCAGAAAATGTATTTTTGGCTTATGTGGATGAAAGACTACAACTCCCAGAATGCACTGGCTTCGCTGCCCTAGGAGGCCACGCCTACCGGTAACAGAGCGCAGTAGTTAAACAACAAGTCTAGGCTACTAGTGAGTCTCCGTGATGAGTCTGCCTGAAAATGTGTTTCGAGATCGCCCAAAATGTCCGGGATTCGGCTTTTGCTTTCTATGGACGAATCCGGCGAAACTACCGGAAGTAAGCGGGCGCCATTACTGAGCTGTTGCTGGGTAGCGTTGCGCCATTGCCTCCTATTGTTTTAGTTGCAACTTGCGTCCACTGGAATAAACAGCCCGCGATTTACGACTGTCACTAACGTTGCAACGTTACCCCTTGTATAATGTCGAGTGGGTAAACAGTTTCCGTTATAAATTGTTTCAATGGTGGCAGTAAAATTTCAATTTTGAAGAGAAAACATTGTGAATACCCCGGGTCGACTGTCCCTGTCTGGTGCCGTACGGTTTACACAGATTTCCTGGGCGAGTACAAGACGCGGACATTCGCGTATAATAACAATTATTTAATGACATAAGTAAAAAAATATAATAAATGTGTGATATAGTGATCAGCAAAATCTCCCCTCTTGCTATTTTTTCTATTCAATTAACATGCTATGGTCATTAAATGGCTTTCCTGAGCTAAATGTAACGTTATGTGACATAATTGTTCTCCTGTTGTTATATTGACCTCTTTCCATGGTTTAAAAACCTAATTGGTCGATATTATGTATACTTTCTAGCTGTAACGTTACCTTACCCTTGCCTGTTGCAATGTGAAAATGAGATAAATAATGGACACAAAGGAAAAACATCAATTTGTTTATTTGATTTCATTCATTTATTTATTTATTGTTGCCAAATGGACAGATCTTTTAGCAAACGTTAGCCTAGCTAGCTTGCCAACTTGCCAAGCTATTTTCATAAATAATCTGTAAGATCGTTTGTACCTTCATCTGTGGCTGGAGGCCACTGTCTAAAATCATCAACCCAACAACTCATTCTGCCTGGCTGTAGCTGTCATCGAGGGTGCTTTCACGTTATACATACCGGTGCGCATGTCTATGCCGGTGTAACAGCTCAGTAATGGCGTCGCCACAAGATGGCAGCCTACACAGAACGCTCGTCGGATTCGGCTATAGTCGCCATTCATCAAGAGACGCACCAGTCTCGTATCTCTCAGGAAGGAGCGGGAATTTTCTTACCAATGTTAAAACGCACATCAACCGATCACTTCTTTAGCGTTCATGTAAACACTACATTCAGATTCACCAATCGGAATGAATTCAGTTAGATTGAAACAAAAGCTGTGCATGTAAACCATGAATGGCGATCGCAGAAAGCAAAAGCTGAATCCCGGACATCGACGGCCGGACATGTCCATGAAAAAGAGGACGGTAACCCCTACTACTCAGCTTTCTCCACAGAACAAGAGCCAGCTAGCTTAGCTTCCAAAAAAGATGGCTGACACTATGTGTAGTGAGTAGTGAGACGCATTCTGTGAGTGAGATCCCACCCACTATGGACGGGAAAACATGCGGGACAGCCCCTACTAGACTGTAGAGGCCAAAAAATCATCCGATGATGCAAAATGGTGATTTCCAGACAAAAAATACATAAATCTCTCGTCTCAGGAGGATATGAGGGTGGAAAGCATGGCAATTCGAAAATACTACAGGTTTTCTACTAAAACAAAGCTTAATAATAAATCCTGAAGTATCCCTTAACAAAAATATAAATTTCACGCTACTCTTTAAATCCCGCTAAGGTTCCGTTGTAAGTGTAACACTGTTTTAACACTTTTTCATGCTCATTCATTTCAAGTCAGAGATGCAGTAAACATATACATTACACTGAAAAGAACCCAGAATTCTCCTTTTAATGAATCTGTAAATTCCAGGCAGCTGCACACATGGGGTTACATCACGATGGTTGCAGGGGTCAGGGCCCGCTCGATAAGGGCTTCCACCTGACATGCTAATAAAATTGACACATGCTTCAAGGAGTTTTCAGTGGAAAGGATGATAAACGCATAAAAACAGCGCTTTCTCTCAGCTGTAATTTCCAGTGGGTGGGTGAATGTTCCTGGCAAGCTGACGAAGGGGAAAGACCTCAAGGACAAGAAGGCGAGAGAAAGAGAGACAGGCGGGCAAAGAGAATGAGAGAGGGAGACAAGAAGACAGTGAAGGAGAGTAAACGGACATCACGTATCTGATAACAGCTCTGTTTAGTTGCAAACACTGTCACTAAACGCAATTTGCGCTGCATAATTCCCAAACTTGCATTATAGCATAGCTTTCCATCATTTGATCATTATTTAAAATGTGTTAATGATTTATTGTGCACTGACGCTTTTGCATGAGAGCAAAACTTATTTGAGGGGGATGAAGATATTGATGACTATTGAATCTGTTACTTGCCAATTATTTGTAATTACATGTGAAACTTACTAGTGAAAAAATGTTCTACATATAACAATAATCAAAACGTTATACTTATAGTTAACGCTATAGTTATCCTTAGTGTTGATGGACCCTAATATGTTAACAATTTCAAGTTACAGTACATAAATTAACATAAGGTAAAGTATTATTAAAGATCACGAATTAAAAAGATAAATTAAGACTGTAAAGATTTGTATTCCAGTGCTTGTTTTTAAATATTGTGAATGAATTTAACTTGATTGTACAGTTTTATCAATTAAAAGTATGTGTGCGTGTGTGAATTTGGTAGAAAATTTGAACATTTTTAGTTTCGGGGGTAACACATTTCAAGCAACACGAGTTATGTTATTAGATTACTTTTTTCAAGTAACTAGTAAAGTTACCTTTTAAAAAAAAAGTAACACAAGTTACTTTGTTTTCCATTTTTTGATTCTACACTGTGTAAATGTGAGCATGAATTTACTCGTCGCACTTGCACAAAATCAGATTCAGTATTCCTCGAAATGCCAAACTCCGAATATTACGCAAACCAGCAATTATTAAATATTTTAATACAAATATGCATTTAATCTCACTTTATTAACAAAAGTCTTTGCTGCTGACCTATAATGATCCAATTCAACGATTACAATAAGCA